CTTCAATTTTGTCACAAAGCTTTAATTTTGCCAAAAAGTTTTAATTTTGTCAAAAAGCTTCAATTTTGTCAAAAAGCTTCAATCTTGTTTAAAAGCTTTAATTTTGTCAAAAAGCCTCAATTTTGTCAAAAAGCTTCAATTTTGTCAAAAAGCTTCAATTTTGTCAAAAAGGTTCAATTTTGTCACAAAGCTTTAATTTTGTCACAAAACTTTAATTTTGCCAAAAAGCTTTAATTTTGTCAAAAAGCTTCAATTTTGTCAAAAAGCTTCAATTTTGTCAAAAAGTTTCAATTTTGTCAAAAAGCTTTAATTTTGTCAAAAATCTTCAATTTTGTCAAAAAACTTCAATTTTGTCAAAAAGCTTCAATTTTGTCGAAAGTTAAGATTAAGTCAATAGGCTTCGATTTGAAGTTTTTTGACAAAATCGAAGATGTAGCTCATAAATGTATTCATTTATAAAGACAATCCAGTCGTCCAACCCTGAAAGTAATTGTAAAATTACACAGACATAAACGCACACATTCTCAGACATTCGAGTCGATAAGCTTCAATTTATATTGAAAAATTATAAGGAAATCAAATATTAAATTTTTAATTAGCAATTTGTTCATTTTCAGAATCATCACAGCAGTATTATTCATATGTAGACATACATGCATATGGATATTAGTGTAAGCATCAGTACTTGAATGCATTGGTATATAAAATTTTGTAATTTTATTTGTTACTTAATAAATATTTAATAGCATTTTTTCAAAAGGAAATTTTCAATCGATTTTATTGATCTTGATGAGAAATATTTTTTTTTCTCATTGCTGTGCCTGCCTGTTTGCTTACTTGCCTGTTTGTTCTCATTTTTCATTTCTTTTTTATGTTTACACAATAAATTTATGTATTTGATATTTATATTCATCATCATCATCATCATCAGCGTCGTCATTTTCTTCTTCTTCTTTTTTCTACATTTTCAAGTCACAATGTATGAAAATTATTATTTGTCTCTTCTACTCGCATGCATACATACACAACCGACAACATAAATTCTTTGCAAATATTTAGATGATTTTCTTTTTCCTTTCTAAAATTGTCGTTTATTTATTGTGTTCTCATTGCATTTGTCATTAGTGACTACACAATGTTAATAATTATAAATATTCATGAAAAAGTTTGATTTGTTTAACAAACGGAAGTGCGACTGGGTTGAGGCGCTGTTCGTGAATTTTTGAATTTATTTAATAATTGAAAGGAGGGGGGTCATCAGCATTTACTCATTTGTGTAGCATTGTAGTGTCTTAGCTTTGGTAATAGCGTCAAGACTCCATATAAAGATTAAGTGATCGCCGTTTAGTAAGAATTGAACCCAAGTTATCGCAAAGAATGCTTCAAAAAGTCACTCGGCCTTTACTCTTAAGTTTCTGTATCTACACTGTTCCGACAATACAAGGCGCAATACAAAAACTTTATGATCAATTCAATTAAACATATAAAATTTTATTTTACTATAAATAATCAAAACCACCCAATCTGACCGCAATAAAAGATCATAAAAATTAAATTCAAAAAATTAAATAATTTAAAAAAAGTACTAAAATAAACTGTCATACTTAACTTAAATAAGTGCAAGCATATGTCTATAAATGCGTTTGTGTATATTAAAATATAAAATATATAAATAAATGTTATGTGAATCGAGTGGAAAATTAATTAAATTACGCCCTGTTCTTTGTTTACTTATCCATTAGATTCGATTTATGAAATTCTCCATCTCCATCTCCATATAGTAGTGAAAAAAGCACACACATTCAGCAGCAATAACAGCAGCAGTAATAGTAATATTTATCTATTTAATTTTATTTTATTATCCATTAACTTTTAAATATCGCTTTTGCTATTTGAACATAATATATTAATGCTCTTTTAAAATTGAACATATATCCATCTACATATTTATCTATCAGAAGAAAATGAAGGTCTATGCTTGGTAACTAGTGCTTATGGGGTCATTATGGAGTTTAGACAGAGAAAGCTAGTTTTTATTCTAGAGTCCCAAGCTATGAAATTATGACTAGATTCCCCCAAAGCCCGGCCGATCCTCCCGATAGTCACATGCGACCCTAGTTTTACTTTTTAGCGGCTTCCTGTACAAGCATGACAACTATGACATCAACCACATATTCCAACCCTGAAAGTGATTAAAAATAAAAATTACTTAATGCAATAAAATTTTATTTCACTTTCGAAAATCTAAAATAATGTTTAATAAATGTTAGTTTTATTTAAAAAAACATTTCAACAATATATTCAAATTTTACTCCGTCTACAGTCTTTTGCTATTTTGTACGTCGTTTAATAGAGTCTCATGGTATAGCCTCCAACATATCAACAATATATTTTACTTCTCGGTTTACTTTACTAAAATTGAATTTATTTATTGTATACAATATTAACAATATCGCTCTTCTTTCCTCTCTTTCTCTTTTCCCATTCATCGATTTCAATTTCTTTTCACTTAAGTAAATATATTGTAAATATTACTTACTGCTGGTGCTGCTTTAACATCGTATAAAGTGCTTAAGGTTAGAAAAAGATACGTAGACGAAGGAATAGACATGCAAGTGATTTTTAAATTTAATTTGTGAGGTGATTGAAACGCATTTAATGGATTTTTGTAGATTTTTGTAAAGAGTTTTGAGATTGTTTGATTCACTGTGGAATATAAATGATTTTTAAATTTAAATTTTTGTGCTAAAAAGGATGGCGACACAGGCAACTGTGCACAGGTGAGAGCCGTACAATTCTTTGATAATTTGTAAGGTTTTATTCAAATATTCTATTAGAAAAACCTTACAAATTATCAAGGAATTGTTTCGCTTTCACCTGTGCACAGGTGCCTGTATAGCAACCCTGGTTCTAAATGAGCTTCTGATGTCTATGGTCTGACATGGTTTCAAAAAAATGTGGTCATGTGGATATGCAGGTCTCTAATAGCCCCTAATCTAGAAAAGGAGACAAATAGGGGCTGAAATTTTGCGGGAGGGAGTCGAAATATTAAAAAAAATTCAATATCAAGAGTTTCAAATCACATGGTATAGAATAAAACCTATTTAGAACCTCTCAAGAGACACGAAGTCACTCTAAAGTCATATCAACTTCTGCACAATGATTAAGTATTTTAAACTTTAATAAAATGTGAAATCGAATGTGTAAATTATGTGTTATGAGCTGTGCCTCGCATAGAGGAACTGACTGGTAGTTTCATCTTGTCTATTCTCTTCCCATTCTGGTCTCAAAAAGATAAAAGAAGAGAAAAGAAAAGAAAGAACGAAATTATAATATTATAAAAAAAAGAATCTTTTTATTATTGCTTTAATTTGACCTATACAATTAATATAATAATGAATTCACTGATCAATAGCCTAAAATTAAAAAGCTGTATATAACTATACAATATAATATAAAGTGTATACATATAATATATATACATATAGTAAAGTAAGTAAGAAGACAGAATACGGGAACGTGGGAAAATCGGCATATTTCAATTTAGAGAAAAAAAAAATAATAATTCTTTTATTAATTTTTTAACTTTTTTTTATTATCCATCTCTTCTTTTTACTTCTCTCACTCTCTCACTCTAATGTGAATATGAAGAATTAAATGAAAAGATTTATAATAATCAATGTATATCGATTTCTTGTGTCTTCATATCTTTTTCTTGTACAATAGAATTTGTTTCTTTTTTTGCTCGATTAGAGATCTTGTAGGTTGATTTCGTCAGACAAATTATTGCCTCTTGGTGTTCATTTGGATGTAGATGTACTGGACTAGCTTAGTCAATTTTTTAGGTTTTTTATGACCCCCCCCCCCCCCCCCCCCCCCCCTCCATAAATCCTCTCTCTGATGATTTATGGTTTTCAAGTTCAAATAGGTTCTATAGGTGTCTCCTGAATAAAACTCTTAAGCACTAGCCAAAAGACTATAGATCTAATCACCAACTAGTAAATTATAAAACAAAATCATCACAAGAGCTTCTCATAAAAATTCAAAAACAACTTCTTTTTTCCACCACATCTTCTTTTCCCTTCAAAAGAGATTTTCACATTACAAAAAAAAAATTCTACAACTTTTTTTATACACATAATAATAAGAAATTATCCAACATATTAGCATTAAAATTCTTTTCGGCATTGAATGCTTTCTTCTCAATAGCATCATTGGATGGCTTCTTCTTGCTTGATTACAATAGTTTAAATTAAAAGATGTGAGATATTTTTTTGTGGACATTGCATGAGATATTGCAATAATTTAGTCAAAAGGGGGGAATGTGGAAAGACTAGATTACCGAATTTTGAGACACCCCTGAAATGTTAAATTAGATTTTCAAGTTTTGATACTTAACCATTGAATTTCGGTAACATTTGCGGATGTACTCAAATTTAAACCACTCAAAATTCCAATTTTTTTGTCACAAAATTTCTTTTCCGTTTCAATTTAAAAATCAACAAAAAAAAATATATTCATTTAAAACTAAATGACTCAATAGAATAATCCACAAAAACTTAAAATTCCTCAGCCTGCATAAAAAATTTTTTTTTTCAAAACAAAAAAGCTGTAATTGCACAAAAAAGTTTAAGTTAATCGGCAGCGGCAAAGGATTTGCATGAATTAATTTTTTTACTTTCCGTTGTTTGAAATAAAAACAAAAAAAAATGTGAATAGAGATGAAGTATATCCACATGTTTTGTTTTACACACACTTACATGGATACAAAAAAAAGTTTACTTACTTACCAAAATCCTATATGTATATATCTTTTTTGATGAAAACATGTATAATCCTAACAGAAAAGCATTTTGCTATTAATTAACTGTTTGTATCTCGATATGAAATTTATATATATATGTAAACCGATGTCGATGAGTATGACTATGAGAAATGAGTAAGTTTCGGCAAGGGGTGGTGAGTTTGGAGATAGATTTGTCTCAATTTGGTCAATTTGCTTATGTTTTATCTTTTTTCTCAATTCGCTCAAATTTTGTCTCAATTTGCTCTAATTTTGTCTCAATTCGCTCTAATTTTGTCTCAATTCGCTCTAATTTTGTCTCAATTTGCTTTAATGTTGTCTCAATTCGATCAACTTTTGTGTCAATTCGCTCAAGTTTTGTCTTAATTCGCTCTAATTTTGTCTCAATTCGCTCAACTTTTGTCTCAATTCGCTTAATACTTGTCTCAATTCGCTCAAAATTTGTCTCAATTCGCTCAAGTTTTGTCTCAATTTGCTTTAATTTTGTCTCAATTCATTCAACATGTGTCTCAATTCGCTCAAATTTTGTCTCAATTTGCTCAATTTTGTCTCAATTTGCTTTAATTTTGTCTCAATTCGATCAACTTTTGTGTCAATTCGCTCAAGTTTTGTCTCAATTCGCTTAATATTTGTCTCAATTCGCTCAATGTTTGTCTCAATTCGCTAAAGTTTTGTCTCAATTTGCTTTAATTTTGTCTCAATTCGTTCAACATGTGTCTCAATTCGCTCAAATTTTGTCTCAATTTGCTCAATTTTGTCTCAATTCGCTCTAATTTTGTCTCAATTTGCTTTAATTTTGTCTCAATTCGTTCAACTTTTGTCTTAATTTGCTAAACTTTAATCCCAGTTCTCTTAGCTTTTACCAAAGTTCGACATTTCTTTTAAGACCCTCGCCTGCAGAAATTTTATCCCATACGTTGCCATCCCTATCCACTGCATCTCTATATCCAGTAAGAGTGAGAGAAATATTTACAATATAAACACATTTTCACATATATAATAAATATATTTCAGGAATAAATAGAGAAATAGATAGATATGTAGATATTTACATGATGCTGTTCCACTGCTGCTGTTGCTGCTGCCGAATACTATTAGTAATTGAGTTGAAAACGAAAAATGCCTAAAGTTGGATTTGCTAATGAATTTCATTATATTGCGTGAATATTTCAGACATCGAAATTATCGACAAGCATCGAAACATTAATTATTTTAATACCGTCAGAAAAGTAGGCAAGCAGGCATTCTCATAGTGTAGTGGTAGATTTTTCGTGTATGATTGCATATCGTTTCTATATAATATTTAATTAATTATCTTCACCATTGGATGAATATTTGCTGATGCTGTTTATTTGCTTTTCTACTCTCGACCATTTTCAAAAACTAATTCAAATGTAGCGAAATTTTACGAAATGGAAAATTACTTACTTCTTCTTTCGCTAGCTGCTATCTAACAGCAGATATAGAAAATCTAATCAATATATTTACAATAAATTTCACTCGTTCCCACTCTTTTCATTTCTAATTCTTCTCATTTCCATTTCACTAATTCGCAATATAAAATAATAATCAGAAATGAGTTGAATTACGAAGTTCGTTAGCTTTTGTTCAGCAGGGTTGGCTTTTTGGGGTTCCTTAACATTGATGTTCAATGTTTAATGGTTTTTGAGCTTTCTGTGAGAATTAAACCTACACAATTCCAATGAATCGTGGATAAACTATGTTTCTTAAGCCAAACCGACCCACAGACATTATCCATGCACTGACAGATTTACCAACATAAACCTCGATACCTCAACACACCATCCAAGTTTCAGGAAATCGACCCTATTACTAGTTTTTCTTAAAATCTTGTTAATTTCTCATAAATCACCAACTTTTCCAACCCTGACACCAAAATTACAAAATATATACATAATATTAAATATTCTACATATATACACATTTACACACCAGCCGGGTGGTGATTGGAAATTAAAGGTAAAGAAGTAGAAAACAAAAATTAAGTGAGCGGGTGGCGTAGAATGAGTTTGCGGAAAATAATCAACTGACTCACTAGCTGACTGTTACGAAATTAGAGAAATGAAATAAACAAAAACAAAGAAATGAGAAAATTAAATAGTTTGGTAATAAAATTGCGATTTGTAGGAACAGCAATAAGAATTTTCTTTTTGTTCGTGAGTTATTTTAATAGCACCTGAAATAATTGCGAGTTTTTAAGGTAGAATGGAGTTGGTGGATTTAGTGGAAAAATTTGGTTTTTATGGAAATTTTGTGGTTTTTATTCGGAATATTGAAGAATTTCTTTACAAAATGAGCTTTGGTGATTTAATGGCTAGTCTAGTCGATTGCTTGACTTACGAATAATATTAAATTTGAATGTTGATTTTTTATTGATGTACTTCAAAGACTCTTCATCGCATCTTTGCTGAAATAAAGAGTCTTAGGGTATTGATGACAGCCTCAGTAGATACTAGGATGTCCTTAGGGAACTCGAGGGTTTTTAGATGTTTTTTAATGACCTTAGCTGATTTTAATGAGCTTCAGCTAATTCGAGGGAATCTGAAAATACCTTAAACAACTTAAAACAGCTCTGGAGAACCAAAATTTAACCAAGAAATAATTATTAGATCCTAAGTCGATTCCAGAAGGCTACAAAAAAATTTAGTAAGGCTTAACACCTCTATGAAGTCACTTTAGCTACAAACTTTCACAATTCCATGGAGAAATGCCATTGAACTCTTGATTTATTGCTGCAAAATCAACTCATTTAATTAAAATACTGCCCACTTCCTTTTTAAAATTTTACAATATCCTCAAATGTTACAAACTTCCTCTCCTGACTATTCCTGATTAATTATTGTCCAATTATTGAAAAATTACTCGAAAATTAATTAATAACAATAATTTATAGCACAAAAGACTCACAAACTTCGCCAATAAATCCTTGAAGCATTGCAACATCCTTAAAGTTCTTATAGGAGAAAGCAAGACGTACTCCAAAATTGTTGAGAAAATTGCAGCTGTTTGTGGATATTCGTGAGTTGAAAATGATATATTCATTAAGAACAGTCAGAAAATGAGAGAAAAAAATCAATTACAATAATTTTTTGTGTTATTTTTTTTAAATATGAAACTCACTGGCTGCTATCCTGTGTGATGGTGTGTATGTACAGTAATAATGCACACAAAAAAAAAGTTGCGAGGGGGTTGGAAAATGAGAAATGTGATTGGGAGATTTTTTTTGCTGTTTTAATTTTTATTTTCCACCTCATTATATACATTTTTTTGCCATGCTGCTTTTGTTTTAATGAAAAAAGTATTATTTTGCCATCGCATCCTCCCACCCTCACACCCCTCATTCTCTGCCACTTCTCACACCATATCGTCGTCGTCGATGTTGGTTCGAGTTAAATTAAGTACTTTTTTGTTCTTTTTTTTGCACTCGCCCGAAATAATGAAGAACTCATCCCTCGTACAACATTTTTTCTGCTCTTTCGCTTTTCTCATTTTTATGTTCCATTTTTTTTACTTTTTTAATAAATTATTAATATAGAATTTTTTTTCTTTTTTTACTGACTATATAATATATTTGGGTAAGTCCACAAAGCAATAGGGTCGAATGCTTGTTTGAATAGATTCTGTGTAGTTGTACATTCAGTAATGACGATGTGTCTTTTGGGAATTTTTAGTGTGATGTTATGTGTCAAAATTACAGTAATCCGGAAACATCCTTAATCTTCTTTGTTTACATTTATAGATTTTGTCTGTCGAGATGGGGTTAGGTTTACATTTTTGGACGTGTCTCTATTGTATATTAATATCAAGATATTCTATTAAAAATCACTTCCACAAAGTCTATGAAGCTCATGCCAAATTTCAATAAATCTCAAACATAAGACAAGGACAATCACCCCCCAAACTAGGAACGCACAGAGCTTGAAGTCGACTCGATATTTTTATTGATTTTAGATGACGAAGTCGACTCTACTCGAAATAAAATTACATCGACTTCAGGCTCTGAGAATGCATATTACTAATTTTATGTTGCTATGTGACATCGATTTTTGTACAGTACTGCCAAAATACAACCTTATGAATCTCATTTAAATATGTTGCAATTACACAGTCTTAATCAGTTCACCCTCATTTGCAGAAATATCTTAATAATTCCATTGTTATTTTATCAAAATGCACTGAATTTTTGCACCCTATCTAGATTTGCCCACATGTACATCTCATTCTATATATTTATATATGTATATCTACACAGTCATGAAGTAAGTGGAGGAGAGTACACTGGCTGTTTATGGAAGAACAAAATGAAAAATTAAAAAAGAGCGGACCCCTTTTCGTAATTATTAATTTAGAATAAAGTAAAATAAAAAAAAAACTCTCCGCTTCAATTTTTTTCCTCTGCTCTCCTCGCCGCTTTTTTTTCTTTTTTTCCTCCTCCGAGTTCTCATTTTTTTTCGTATAAATTTATATATTCATTAAAAAATTTTTTTAATTAAAAAAAAAGTCTTTATAATTTAATATTATTTTTTTCCATCTCTTTTTCTCATCTCTCTTGTGCACAGAGCAAAAAAAAAAGCAGTAATATAAAAAAGGAAAGTTTGTTCATGGAAAGAATGGAAAGGCAAAGAAAAAAAATTAAATTGGTGAACAAGTGTCCAGCGGGTGGGTTGAGATAGCGCATTTGAGGGATGATTTTGCGATAAAAATTAAAGATGCACTGGATTCTGATCTATTTTGGGTAGATGCTGTTCTAAAATTTATTCTCAATGTGTCAGATCCTAATGAAAAGATTTATTTGAAGCCAAGATGCAGCTTGCATTTGACGATGTGTTGGACGCACCGCCTTGCACCCAATGAAATGGTTTCGACACTTATTTTAGAAGTATCTTATATGTGCATCGATACTAAGAATATAAAGTCTTCCTTGATCACACTAATTAAGCTCTATAGAAGAAGCCATAAAATAATCTACATTGATCATTTATCAGACCGACAAAGCAAACTCATCACCACCTTCATTATTTCAAAGAAAAAAAAACATTTTCCTTTTTAAAAAAAACAAGCATCGAACGAGCAAAAAAAAAAGTGGACGAGAAGGAAATTGAAGAAGAAACAAGAAAGAAAAAAAATTTCTCTTTTCCTTTACGTGTGTATGAGTGTGGATGAGTGGGAATTCTTTCTTCATATTAAATTATTGTCGGACCAGCAAAGTTTTCAGTCATTATTTTTAAATTACTTTGCAAATGTTTGGATTTTTCATCCTTGCACTCACTCTGATGTAAAAAATTGAATTTATGTGACGACGAAGCGCGAATTGAGGACTTCTTTTTATTTTTCATCTTTCCTTTTGCTTTTAATTTTCATGTTTTTTAATTGAAAATGCAGTTTTTCATGATAATTACGTAGTTAGACAGACATCTTATGGGGATCGAAGAGACTATGTAAACATACAGTAAA